TAGCATGTTATCTATCAAAGACAAGAAAGCATTAAGACTGTTTCTCATGCACAACAAGGGTAAAGTGTTTCTTTGTTGGAAAACATAAATCTTTTTATAGGTAGCAAATAATTATGTAAGGCAGATGGACAACAGCATTTTAGTCGTCTTCAAAAGGTAATAAAAATTAAAGTGTAGAAAATTGATTTTAAATGTTACGGAGTCTGGGCCTGATTCCCTACTCCATTACAGTATAACTGTTGAGTGCCATGGAGTTTATACCAACATTTGACCAGTGTAACAGAGTGGAAGTTCTGGCCCTCTGTTATAGGTGAGGACAAAGCACCATTTACCAGAAGGGGAGGGAGGGGGGGGGAAAAGAGAAACAAAATGTTTGACAAAGTCCTTCACAAAAGGCTGTTATGGAAACTAGAGAGACAAGGTGGGTGAGGTAATATCTTTTATTGGACCAACTTCTGTTGGTAAGAGAAACAAGCTTTCAAGCTTACAAAGAACTCTTCTTCGGGTCTTGGAAACTTACTCAGAGTGTCACGGCTACAAACAAGGTGGAACAGATTGTTTATCATAACTAGTTAATACGTGTTTCAAGGGACCTGTCATGGACAGGCCACTGAGTGAGAGGGAAAAGACTGGAATTGCTGCCATCTGTGCTGTACCTGCACTGTGAATAAAAAGAGGAGCCTTATCTCTAAAGTGGTGAATTCAGCACCTTTCACAAGCAATATTGTGTATTTTACATTTAAAAAAATAAATCAATTAAATAAGAAAAAAGCCACACTGTATGTTGAACACTATGACTGCATCTGTACACTTCGACCGTTAATCAGCTTACCAGAGGGGCAATCTGCCTCCGAAAAGTCAAGTAACTGTCTGTCTTGGGAATCCGGAAAGGTCTCCTTTTTACAGTCTCCAAATTTATACTCAAGGTCCTGCTCTTTATGCTGGAAGTAAGCCATCTGTTCTTCGTACTTCTGGAGCTCTCCTATTTCCTGAAGATTTTTCAGAGTTTGACTCAGGCTGTGTCGTCCGTGCCAACAGTACTGATTCTTGGCCACACGGCTAACGAGGTGCAACGATTCCAGAACATTCACTATGTCATAGATGCGCCTACGCTCAACTCCTGTTTTAAGGAAGAAAGAGACTTAAAAGCATGCCCATTTTAAAACATGCTTCTACTCTCTCCTCCTTTTGTATAATCGCGCGCTGAACAAGATCTACTCACAGCAAGTTCCCTCTTTCATCATTTCCCTGGGTAAGTCACAGAGTTTGCTCCTACTAAAATCAATGGGAGTATAGCCACTGGGTCTGATTTTCCATTGCCTTGCACTTGTGTAGTACTGTGTAAATTACAGGCACCAACAAATACGTCACAATGTGTAAAGCAATGGAGAACTGGGCCTACAGTCTTCAATGGGAGCAAGAGCTGGACTTTAATCTCTGACCTCATCTACACATAGGGTGACCAGATATCCCGATTTTATAGGGACAGTCCCAATTTTTGGGTCTTTTTCTTATATAGGCTCCTATTACCCCCCACCCCCTGTCCTGATTTTTCACATTTGCTGTCTGGTCACCCTATCTACACAAAGGAAAATTTTCAAAAATTCCCCATAGGTACCAACTCTGGTTCAGCTCTACTAGTGTTAGCAGTGTTTGGAGCCTGAACACAACCAGGCCAATGCCTGCAGTCACCATTTTAAACAGTCATCTAACCCCACTAAGAACTGGTCTAAATGACAAAGTGCTGGCAACAGCTGTCTGCCTTAGGGCTCACAGTACTGCTATCAGCAGTGGAGAGGAACAAGCACTAGTATGGTGAGAAGTTTTGAAAGATTTCTCTAATGTTTACCCATCTGTAAAATATAGATAATAATGTGGGTTCTGGGACTTTCCAATTTGTTAGTTTTTTAAAGTGCATGGAGATTTTTTGAGTTAAATGTGCTACTAAAGTACTGAGTGCTATACATACATAGACATATTTTACAAGACTAGTTCCTTTGAGCACCAGCATCATAAACCCTCTCCTACATGATTCGCTGCATAAAACTCCAGTGCTTGCCAGCATACTGGTGGTATGTTGATGGGAAAGGAGATGATGGCACATTGTCAAGATATTTGTACAATTATTCCCAGCCCGACATTGCCACCAAACACAGGCACTGGAGCCCAAAAACAAATAAGATCAAGATACATATTTTTAGCAAAGTGCACCATTGTCACCCTCCCTCCGATCCCAATCCTCAGTATTCTGCCAATAGGTTAAGAAGCTGTTCAGAAGAAACAAGATTAAGTTGCTAGAGTCAGTGAGAATTTATGCACCCTGTAATGTATTGAGATAATTTTAGTCTCCATCTGCAGTCTGATCTTGCATTTCTTAAAATTCCTATGGACTTCAGTGGGAATTTTGGGTGAACAAGGAATGCAGGATCAGATCCCCCACAAGATTTATTTAGGATGAGAGTTGCAGTGATATTAGATATTAGCTGAAGAATTTGTAGATGAACAGGAAGGGAGGGGACAGACATCTAAGCTAAAACCTGTAGGCTTGACTCATACACTTCTATCACAAGGAGAGACTGTACCCCAGGCACTTTAACCCTGGGAGAGGGGAGATGGTGTTTGCACCTCTGTCGTCTCTCATGGGTGCAACCAGAGAAGTGCAGCTTTAATCTGTGGCCAGAGAACTATTGGGAACCCTATTAATGAAGGCTGCCCAGGTACCATAGGCCCTGAGCAGAGCCTGGGAAGCACTGTGTACTGCTGTGACTCGTAAATGGATTTTTCCTAGCCAGGAGCTGTGTGAATACAGCCTTATCTATTGATGGCAAAATCTACATTCAAGCTATTATTTGCTACACAAAGATCAGCAGTGGTATAGGAAATGAAAACCAAAGGGGAAAACAAACCACTATTTTTAAATAAGACACAAACTCTACTAGTACATTTAAACAAACTCCTTTCCTTTAAGTCACCAATGAAATATTCCTCAAAAGGAAAAAAAAACAAGTAATTTCATTGCCAGTTAGCAATGAAGGACTACATGTGTTCAGCTTCGTGAAGGCAGAGCACTGGGATTTCATATTAAATGGGGCTAACTCTAATACTTAAAAACAACAATTCATTTAAAAAAATTCTTAAAAAATGATTACCATAGAAATCAGTCCTTATCTATTATTTATTCTTTTCTGCATTCTTTTCTGTTTTGCTAAGTCAATTTTGGGCACCTCAGAAAGTACTTTAGGAGCTGTCTCACCAGAGCTACATAGGGAGGAAATCCCATCTCTGTTCCCTCTCCATCCTCCTTTTCAAAATATAAAAACTGCACTGAATTTTCTGCAAGTTCTAATTTGCTACCTCTTTCCTATGAAATAAATCTGAATTATTTTTCTCAGATGCAATACTTTGCATGTATTCAGGCTGAGTCTTATTTTTGCTATCTCTATTTTCTATAGTCTCTCTGGGTCCCTTTGTATTATTTTTTTGTCCTGGATGAGGTTCACAACAGCTCCCAATTAAGTCTGACTTGTAAGTTTAGTTAACATGCAGTTTACTACTTGCAGATAACTAAAGAGGATGTTAAAGACGACCAAAGCTAACATTGGTGTGGTCCCTGAACCACACCATTCGATGCCTCCCCCCAGTTCAACACATTGCTTTTTATCATTCCCCTTTTTGCAGTCCTTCTGCCAGTTTTCAGTGTGCAAGACATTGTTCACGTCCAAGACAATTTGGCTATTTAGATTCTGGAAGCTACTGTATTGGATGATTTATTGAAATCAAGATATAAAACCTACTGATTTCCCTCATCCACCAATTTGTAGTTCTATCCAAAAATTCGCCACAGTTCTTTTGTATGATTTGTTCTTTATAAACCCTGCTGCTTATTGCTCAGACTTCAATTAGCTGGAAAATAAAAAAATAGGCATACATATTTAGCAGCAGGATTAGTTCACCATGAGAGCACTCAGAGTGATTTGCAATTTTTTTTAAATGATAGGGTTATATAATAATGTAGTGGTAGAGATCTTCTTAAGTATTAGGCACCTGCAGCTCTTGCTTAATTTAACTAGAAGGGCGCATCCAGCACCTCCCAAAATAAATAAATAAATAAATGATTAAAAAAAAATCAGACCTTAAATGTATTCTGTGAATTGGTCAGTTCTTTTAAATGGGATCTATTTTACTTTAAGTGCCTTTATGTGGTAGACATATCTTAAAAGACTGAAGTTGTCCAGTTCTTGCAGCATTTATTTCAGGCATACGTACCAAGACTAGAAGCCACTTCATCCAAAGAAATGGTAGATTTTTCTGCTGACAAAGGGTAACTTGGGTAGCGAGCTAGAAACTTTTGGCATAAGAGTCCTAAGCTCTTCTGTTTTCTGCTGGGTCTCTGCTTTTCAAATTCATCCACTGTGCCATCATCTACCATATCATACTGTTGAAAAATAAATGTTATTCCTTTATTGTAGAGCTTCAACAGGCATGACAATAGCAAAACAGGGAAGATTTCAGATTCTAACATTCAAACTCAGACTACTGTTACAAAAGATAAAATACACATAACCAAGCGCCTTCATACAGGCTTAGAATGTGATTCTCTCTCTAAGTACCTGGGTCACATGTTTTGACTCATGAACTTGTTTTATCCAACATCCAGATACAGTGGAGATCATTATGAAAGCTTTTACAAGGACATCCCATGGTGGCCAGGTGTTGGAGGACACAAAAGGTGTAACTATGTTCCCACCACCAGTAGATGATAAGACCCTATTTGGAAGTAACATTCCCTTTTGAGACCATAAAAAGGAGGATTTCTGCAAACACCTTGGAGTGTCACTCACCAGAGATGTCTACCAACCACCAGAGGGCTCCTGAAAAACCTCTGCACAGAAATTCCACCAGCCCTCTATTTGTGGGTATATCACTTTAAGAGCTCAGAGGCATGTGATCCTAGTTCTGGGGGATAAAATTCAGCTGTCTCAGCATTTTGGGCTGTTTAACATTTTGGCAGGCTGTTAACTGAATAAAATCCTATGGAAAAGAATGAGTAGGCCCTTGTAGTATTCCTGAAAGCTGGAGACCTCAGGTATATATAAGAAGGTATGTTTGTTACAATAGCCCCTAAACAATGAACTGACTGTAATTTTTATTTGGACTAGTAATTCTGAAGTATTGATTCTCTTGTTGGAGTGAAGTTGTGTATGTCAATTGCCTATGAACTTTTTTACTCTTAAGACTTGCAGTATCTCAACTACCTCTTACTGCAGCATGAGTAATGAATCCCCTTGCAACATGCTTGGGAATAAATGCCCTTGGTTTTTAAATGGTTTGAAAACTGCAGTTTTCACCTAATGTTTTGTAATCTATTTTCTACAGACAAGATTTGGTTCATGAGGGTAAATTTAACAAAAGCTGACATATGGTCTATCAACTTGCTCCAAGTTTAAGTTTAAACTGAAGAAGTTTAGAATACTTGAAGCAGTCATGTGCACAATAGCTGAATTAAACTCCATTTTAAACCAACTTTACTATTTAGTCAATACCTACTTTTTAAATGTGTAATAATAATATTTATATGGCTTTTCAGCAGTGGCTGTCAAAGTGACTTATAAATAAGGCCCTACCAAATTCAGGGTCCATACTGGTCAATTTCATGGCCAGAGGGTTTTTAAATTGGTCAATTTCATGATTTCAGATGTTTACATCTGAAATTTTACTGTGTTGTAACTGTGGGGGTCCTGACCCAAAATGTGACTCTGAGGGGGTTGCAAAGTTGTTGTGGGGGTGGGGGCATCCCAAGATTATCACCCTCACTTCTGTGCTGCTTAGGCAGCAGCCTCTGAGCTTCCTGCAGTTAGAGGAGGTTCCAGGAGGTGGTGGTAGGTAGGATCTCCCTCATGCTGCTAGGAGTGCCCCAGCTGTGGCTCCTAGGTGCTAGTCCAGGCCAGTGACAGATTAATGCAGGGCCCCATGGCCAATTTGGGGGCCTCCTGGAAAAATGGGTGCTCCAGCCCCAGAAGAAGCCCCAGGGTGGAAACCCTGACTGGTTCACTTGAGCCCCAGCAGGAGCCCTGGGGGAAGAAATCTCGAGTCCTGACTGCCCCGAGCTCGGGAGGGGGCAGAAGCCCCAAGCCTGGATTACCGTGGCTGGGGTGGTGGTGAGGAAGCCCCGAGCCCGGGCTGCCCCAAGCCCTGGCTGGAGCAGCAGGGGGTAGAAGCCTGGGGAGGGGAAGGGTGTGGAAGCCCCAAACCCAGGCTGCCCTAGCTGCAGTTGGCAGGGGCGGATGCCTCCAGCCCTGGCCAGAGCTGCTGGGGGAGGAAGCCTGGAGCCATAGCAGGAGTGTGTGTGTGTGTGTGTAAGTCCTGAGCGGCGGGGGGTGCCCCAACCTCCAGCTGGAGCAACAGGGAGCAGAAGTCCAGAGCCTGGGCTCCCTCGACTCAGGGTGGTGAGGGTGGAATCCCCCAGCCTGGGTTGCAGGGAGAAGGCCCTGAACCCAGGCTGCCCCAGCTGCAGCCAGCAGGAGTGGAAGCCCCCAGCTTCAGGAGCTGCTGGGGGAGGAAGCCACGAGCTCAGAGCCGCGGCAGGAACCGGGGAGGGTTGAGGGGGTGGAGTGGGGAGAAGCCCCCAGCCCAGCTCCTGGACTGCTGCAGCGCAGAAGTGAGGATGTACCACCCTCATTTCTGTGCTGCCTCTGGAGGTAGGTCTGATCTCCCCACCAAGAGCAGCCAGGCATGGGAAGAACAACTCCTGCCCCTCTCCAGCATGGCCAGACTAGCAGTTAGGAGCCCCAGGCTACCAGCAGCAGGGGAGATCAGATTTCGTGGGGAAAGGCTGCTTTCACGGTCTGTGACATGTTTTTTTTATGGACGTGAAATTGGTAAGGCCCTATTTATAAAGATGGCCAATATTATTATCCCCATTTTACAGATGGGCAGACTGAGGCACAGAGGTGAAGTGATTTCCCCAGATCACCCAGCAGGCAATGGTAGAGCTTAGAATTGAACCTAAAACTCTTCAGTCCCAGTCCAGTGCTCTATCCACTAGGCCACACTGCTTCACCAAACCTAGCAATTATTTCAGTTATCCTTTTGGAGAAGGAAACAACTAAAATTTAATGTAGCGTATTTCTGTACACACTGCTTGTTGAAAGCTAAGTTATGAGTGATCTTTCAAATAACTTTTTGTTAGTCTGCTTGCCCCAGCCCGGCCTTCCCCCCCACCACTGTTCAAACAGGTTCAGTGCCATACTCTATCCAAAAGAATTATGTGAGCCTTTATGCCTACAAAATAGCATTTTCTTAGAACGAGGGCCTTGTGATTAGATTCTAGTTTCATGTTGCTGATGTTGGAACCACTGGCAAAAGGGGCATCTTATGAGCAGTAACTTGGAATGGGGTGCTCGTGGTTCCTGGAGCAAGAAACAAAAGGAGGAGAGGAAGGCGCTCACTGCTGTTGGATAAAAGCTGAAATTGCTCTCCTCCTGCTCTAAGATGTTAGAGGTTTTTTTGTTCCTGTTTTTTTAAAAACAGGAAGGATGGGGAGCAGAATCCCCTAGCAGAAAAAACAACACAATGTAAAATCCTGCTTAATCAGGAAACCATTCAGGTGTAATTTTTGACTACCCTCATCCTGACTGTTAGTTGTGGAGCTGTGTTTTGCTGAATGAGGTATAAATATGGTTTGCCAATCCAGTGTGGCTAAGGTATACAGCTTCTAAAACCATATTTATAAAAATGCCCAAGACTTGGTTAGCCTGTCTTTAAAACAGTTGTACAGTAGCCAAATGAGCTATTATGCTGAATCTGTTTAACGGACTTGGCAGTTTCCTCTCATTGTGGCTAGGCCTTAGTTTGAAAATGATATAATTAGCGAGGGAGGGGAAGTAACCATATCCAGTCTCTGAATATCTGAAGAAATACTTGGACAGTAAGCTTTTAAGATGGTGATCTTTGTCTGAAATGGCTTGCACACTGGTGTTGCTATATAAATGGTCATCTTTGAGGATGCTTTCAAATAGTGCTGCTCTCTACTCCTAGTAAAGGAGAATGGCAGAAAGACTGAGGAAATAATAGTTATTTTATTACTTGATTAAAAAAAAAATCAATCAACTAGTCAGCCTGCAGCAAGTCGAGAGCATTGTGTGTCAATTATGTCCAAGCTTATTAGGTCAAGTCTCTTACCTGTACAGAATCAGGAAAAGCATCGTTCTGCTCACTGTTCTCAATTGGTCTAAAGAGCTCTTTCTTCTTTTCCCTGTCCCTCATGTCAGGGCTAGCAGCACTAATCAGCATCTTCAGGTTAGCTGTGGGGGTCCAGGGATCTGCCAGAGGTCTGTCGACAAGCTTAACAGGTGTAATTGGGTTTCTTTCTGGGGTGCAGCCTTTTTGTTTTGATAAATCAATTGGTTCATTTTTCATGGGAGTCTTTGGGGTCATTCTGGATTGATCAAATATGTTTTCCTATTAAAAAGAGGATTGTTTAGGGTTGAAGAGAAGCAACACAATCCACCAGTCAATGCCATTGTTCGTATGAAGGCAATGATTGCCATCATGCTCCGACAGTCCCAAGGTTATATTTAGCACAGCTCTTATAAGCATCAGATGCAGCAAAGTGTATACCATACATCAGTGTACAATGCAGATAAGATACCACCATGAATTGCTTAAGATGAAGTCAATCAGTCAAACCTGTTGTCCGTCAGACTTCTATGTTCTGCCTTTTCATATAAGCCAACTGTGCCACAATTGTAAACCTACTGGTCCAAATTATGAACCCAGTTTATCCTCTGGAGCCATATGTCTTCTGGCTGAATTTGGACTGAAGCTTAAATAGTTCACTAGTTACACTGCACTTAGAAAAAACATAGCATTCTATTTTGGAATCTCCATAATGGAAAGCGCTTTTTTGGGATTTCACTTTACTCAGCCCAGATGGAACACTTCCCTAATTGAAGCAAATTGCTAAAGTATCTGCTGCTCAAAACAATGAAAATATATAACTAAAGAAGTGTTAACTATAGTCAAGCAAGCTGCTGGGAAGGAGAAACCTACATATGACTTGTTCTCAAAGTAAGGTAAGAACAAGAATTTCCTCCTTGCCCCCAGCTACATGATCTGATGCTCATTTTTCTTACACAGGAATGAGGCTGTGACTACCCTTTTGTCTGTTCCCCCTACCACAAAAGTCATGTTACAGACCAACTTTCAACTTACTTAGATGGATTGACTCAAGTAGGCATCAATGTCATTCCTTAATTAGCGGGAAAAGCGGCTTTTGAGCAATAGGTACTTCCCCACTCTACTAGTTGAACAGGTTTGTCACCCTACACTAACAGGATGGAGAGCATGAGAAAAATATGACCATATTACTTGGGTTTCTTTTGCTGCAACAGAGTATTATCAGTGGGCAACAGATAAAACACAGTTAACCTAACGTTGATGGATCTAATCTGTTTACTGAACCTGCCAGCTACCACTGGATTTTTCTTTGTTACTGTTCTGATCACGGATTCTGGACTGACCAGTACCTAGAGAAAGCCATTGGTACTAAAGCCCTACCAAAACTTTTCTAGCCCTGAGAGATCACAAGACATCAGACATTAAATCATTCTGATTACCATTTAATAACTTCTCTCTGATGCTTTACATGGATTAAAAATGGCAGTTTCTGGCTTTCAAATGCTATGACTCAGTTTCTCAATCTAGCAGTTTGAAATACTGGCTGCAGAAATCTCAGATGAAGTGAGAGGTAAGAGATGAAGAAAGTAAAATGATAACCAGAAATTAATATCAGATTTCACAACTTGCTGTTCTTAGAAGCCAAGCCTTTGTACCGCTGGAAAGTGTTCTTAAAACTATAAGGACTAGAAATGAGACCCTGAAACAGTTACTGGTCCCTCAGTCAAGCAGTGTTCTTGGTGTTTGTCCTGAACCAATCATAAATTTCTGCACCTCTGACTAGTGGTGTTTTAAAATATTTGCAAAATGAATTTTTAAAACATAACCAAATATACATAATAGAATTTTTGGGATAGATATTATTACAATAGTAGTCGCCTTTTCATTGTTGGTGCTGCAAGGCATTAAATTTACAGAAAAGT